ACTCGACGACCAAAGCGTCCGCCGGGACATCAGCAAAGAGGTACGAGATCGTCGCGAGGCCAAAGAGGATGGCGACAACACCGCCCTTGTCCTTGGCGTTGTAGTTGATCGTCGCATTGTCGGCCGCCGTGCGGTCGATCGGGTCCTTGAGGCCGACGGCGTCCACCGGGTAGTACGGCTCGCCGAGGTCCATGCACGAGAGAACCAGGAGGAAGCAGAGGCAGCACGTCCAGCCGATCATCATCCACGACTTGCGGCGGTAGCCCTTGATGGGCACGCAGTCCGAGATCATGCCGATGAAGGCCTTGAGCGACCAGCCAATGTTGACGAGGGTCTTGGCCGAGTTGTACTGCGCGCCGGTCATGTGGTAGTAGCCGGTGAAGACGGGGTAGAGAATGTTGGGCAGGCAGCCGTAGACGAGGCCGACGCACACGTATTGGGCAAGCAGACCGAGCACTTCGCGGCTCAAGTAGTCGGGCGCGCCACCGGCGCGGAGAGCGCCATCTTCAAGGTCGACCGGCGTCTTGCCATCGTCGTAGTCTTCGCCCGCTGGCTTGTCTTGTGTCGCCGAGACGTACGAGACGCGCTCTTGGAGCTCCATACCACCAGTGCGCTTGGCTTGCATCTTGGTCGTGGCGAGGCAAATTCAAAACTGACTGAAGTGCGATCGGTGAAGAGGACTTGGGACACGCTGGGCCCTCGGCGTTTCTCGTCGTCGAATTGCCTTCTTGAATCAGACGCGGGACCTGTAGAAAAAGTTGACGGGCAATTTGTATGGCAGGCAACGTACCAGCCTTGGATGGGTGCTCCCACTGTACCACCCCTGGACGACCGGTGAGAACGAGCGTGTTCGATGCGCTTCCGCTTCTTCGCGAGCGCGCTTGGTGGCTGCGGCGGGCGCATTCCGATCACTCTCGTGCGCTTGGCCGTGTCAACGGACGGGCGGCAACGTGGTGCGTTTGTCGCTCTCGTGGCAGTGGCGTGAGAAAACGACCGGGCTCAGGTGATTCGCAATCAGATATGACGCGTTTCTTATTTAAAGTGCAACTCTACACCGTTGTAATGCGCCTTGAAAGACTCTGGGAAGCTCTTTGAGAGGGGCACCGACCATGTAGATGACAATGGCCCATGCTCTGTGCGTGATGTAGTCTCGGTGTGGCGCGAGCTTTGCGTGCTGCGCACTCGGACGTTGTCCGAGTCGGTGGCCAGAGATCCAATAACGTTGTCGTTTGACCGTGTCGTCCTACGGTCGCCGCTTCAACCCACTCCACGTAGCACCTTACCATGCCGTGTTGCAATACCAGCTACAAGTCCAGTGGCGACACAAGACGACGGTGTCAGTCCGCTCCCAATCATGTGTACATGGAAGTATAGATATACTAGTACGGGGACCAACCGATCGGTAATAGACGACCCACTTCAACAACAAGCGATCCGTAATGTCAAAACGCTGGGTCGGATCAGATGGACATTCGCTTCGAACTCGGAACGAAGATTATCAGAGAAATGGACTGGCCTATTCCATGTATTAATCCACCAAAGCCAAGGCGATTCGTTTTCTTTGCGCGTTGACGTAAAAAAAAAATTGAAGGCGGTGTGCCCCTTCGGTAGTTGGCGCTGTCAACTAGTCACGACTTGGTAGGACAGGGCTTGTTAAGGACTTGCCGAGATACAACCACCCATGTCGACGCGATTGGGGGCTCGCTCACAGCCATAAATGATGACACAGCGTCCTCAACGACGTTTCTCTTGGATGTGGCAGCCCGACATTGTCGCCGGCGCGCGCATTTTTCTAGTTCGTTGTTACTTGTCTAATTAGCGCACTGCATGCTGAACGCTTTCGGTGGAAGCAAGGAGTCACTACGGACCATCATTTCGTCGGATAAGAATTTAGCGCTAGCATGTGCACCTCCAGCTTATTTCACATGCTTCGTGCGAACATCAGCAGGAGAGCCCTGTTTGCCGGCTTCTGTATCTGTGCGTGAAACGTAGACCCGAGTGACGCATGTCAGTAAGCGATGTATATTCTATGGTCGAAGCTGCACACCGTCCATAATATGGGCGGTGGTCGGAATTGGATGGCCGATGAGTCATGCAACATGTGTCTTTCCGTTGAATGGGTACTAGCTCCAGATGTGCCAGGCCGCGTCGAATAGAACTCGAGGTCCTCGGCACCGGTGCACGCTGACAGACAGATTGAAACAGCACCAAAATCATACTGTACATCCTCCCATCGTGGCAACTGAAGTTGGTGAAGTGAAGTAGTTTTTACTGGTATTTCCTTGGCGTCCAAGACCAAGGTGTTAGCTAACAAACTATCATGCAACGAGCCCTCGGTGTCCGACGATAGATAGATATTTATGTGAAACGCATCCGCCGAGTCGAATGGAGGCAAGTCCCCCACTCCTAGCTAGCTACCTGGAGTGGATATTCAACACAGATGTGGTCATTGACTGACCTAATGGTTGTATGCACTGTTTAACGCGCTCAATGACACTAGAAACAACTGCGAAAAGGCGCAACCATGCAAGTAAACACAAGACACTACATTATAGCAAAGAGCTAAACAAAAGGAGGCTTAGCAGCCGTCACCGCCAGCAATGACCAAGCACGACGTCGACTCAAACATGGAGAGGATGCTGCACGTGATCGAGTAGACGAGCATGCAAAAGCAGAAGATGAGGACCGCACCACCGACGA